TGCCTCATCCATCATATGTTTCAGTTTAAATGCATCCTCTGCCTCATCGAGGATTTCGATACCGGGCATGGCGTCTTTTTCATCACCGTAAGATGGACTATACGAACCACGTTTGTACATTTCAAGAGTTAAAATTTCCATTTCTTCTTCATTCAAAAGTCTGAAAAAATCCAAATGTGTGAATTCTGCAAAGAAAAGTGGCTACCAGAAACATGCAAAATTCATTCAGCTTACAACTTCCGATTTAATTAACTTTATACAAAAAAAAACAAAATATACCGCCATTTCTGCTCCTTGAGTTCATCATCAGCATAGTCGAGATCGTCTAGCTGCACAGGAAGAATTTTTAACTTAACTGATTGCGCTGAGTCGTCGAGATGTTTCCCTGTTACCTGGAGAAACTATCTCATGAAAATCTTGAAAATAAAACCAATATTAAAACATGAAGAAAAAAAGATAGTAATACATCTTTGTAATATTGTTCTTGCTCGACTTCACGCTTATGTGTTTCAACTTTTTGTTCCTGCTTTATCATTTTCAATTTGTGTTGCAGAATTTCTTGATGCCGTTCAGTAATGCGCGCTTTTGCCATGTGAACATGAAGATGTTGCAATGTGAACTCCAGAAATTCTACATCTGTCCCCGGCTCACCAGAACGAATTTTCTTTTTAATCTGGGAATCTAACGCATCTAATTCTTGATGCGTCTTATTCTGCAAAGATACTAGCTCGTTATTTTCAATTCTTTATTAGAATACCTTTATCTTTATTCAGTGAGACATTAGAACAATCAATAATTGAAATTAAGACAATAAAAAAGTAAACTTTGTTTACAAAGAATTACATTTACTTCGGTTTCAAATTTATAGATCTCAATGCCAACAAAAAGAAAGACTGTACTTACTTTGAATAACTGATTGATATCTTTCTGGACGGAATTATGAACCGATTCTCTCACATCAGCAGAACTAATGTCATTTGATAGCTTCCGTATTTCGTGATTAACAACTGTACAAAAATCAGCCCACCACATAGCATTTTTAGCAGAATCGATTTTCCGATAAATCTAATAAAAAGTATGCTATTTAAAACAGTAAAAAAGTAGGATAACGATAAACTGGAATAACTAACACTTGAACTTGTAATATCGAACTATATTCCAAATTTTTGATGAAAGGCGATGATATAATAAAGACAAACCTTAATATCTTCCAATAAGTCTTCAAGATCTCTAGTTTTAAATCCTTTCAAATATGATAGAGGATCAACAAATTCGAACTCGTCATCCGTCTGATTTTCGACTACTTTGTTATCATAGCTGATATACCTTAAAATGAAAAATTAGAGGAATATTGAATATAGTGCAGAAAATATAAATGATGCGATTTTTGTAGTGATTACTTGATTATTTCTAGTAAAAGAAAATTAGTCTGACCTTGCAAGTAAATCGATAGGCTTTGCTCGTCCTTCCTTCAATCTAATGTGTGTACGAAGTTTAGCTTGGCTTAATAAAAATTCTTCTTCTGTAGCATGCCAATCTGAATTGTGCCGCCTTTCCTCATCTCTTCTGATCATTTCCAAATCTTCCCGAGCAGCATCTCGAGCTTTTCTGTTTCTCTTTAGTTCTTCCATTTCAGCCAAATTTTTAAGTGCACGATCTCGATTCCTACAAGTTATAACCAAGAAAAATACACTTGAAGCAGAAGTATCATTGATTCTAATAATTCTGCGGAATAAAACTATAATTACCAAGCCATTTATAATGAAACCCACATAGAAGACATTTATCAAAGAATAAATACATTAAACAGTAAACATATTAAAATTTAAAATTAAATATGACAAAATTCGAAATGGTTGACTCACATCTTCTGAATTCGTTTCAATGACAAACCACTCTTGCCTTCAGCGGCTAGCTTTCTGGTCCATATAAATGTGGTTGTCAAATTAGGATCATTAAAAGGATTATTTGTATCCGTATACTTCACTTCATCAACAACTACATTTGTTGAATTTCTCTCAACCTTCAATTAATCAAACTAAGAAGTAAACCAAAAGTTTCAAAGCAACATGTTTGATTTGAAATAAAATAGTGTCATCACTTCTTTTAGACTAGCAAAGCCTGAAAAATACCTTTTTTAACTTTTTTGCTACCCGTCTTGCTTTTTTTTCTTCCAGTGTTTCGGTCTCTTTTATTTTTGCTTTTTCACTTTTCTTTTTTGCTTTTTTCTTCTCTCTTAACAGCTTAAGGCGTTTGTCAAATTTATCTTCCTAAAACCAGTTAAAACATGAAATTTGAATAAATTTATATCATACCATGCACACGTAATAAGTCCTTCATCTGTATATAAATTAAATTATTACCCTCATAACTTAAACGTTGAAAATCGAAAGGTACACTGAGTGTTATGCGAAAAAATGAAACTTCATTGAATATATAGCATACGACTGCTGAGCACAAGAGACTTTTAAATAAATACTATTACCTCATCACTTCCATTACTAGAAGAACTATGATGGTGATGCCCTCTTTGCTTTTTACCTTTCTTCTTCTCAGAGCTACCATCTTCACGCCTTCGATGTTTTTTTTCTTTATTACTCATATATTTTTCCTGCAAAAATAAAAAAATTCCAGTTCTGACAAAACGGTACATCTTCAGATGAATTTACTCATTATTTTTACTCAATCAAGCCAAAATATTTCACTCACGTAGCTTACTTACACAATGTTTTAGGTAATATACAGGTGCAACAGAAATCTCCACCGCTTGGTGATTTAGTTAAAACAATCAATAATAAAAGATAAATTCATATAAACGCACAAACAAAACTACGTGATGCTCACATGCGCACTACAAAACTAATGCACATAGGTAGCCAGCACTTAACAACCTGCAGATGCGTTTAAGATCTAAAACTACTACTTTACGTCAGGACGAACACTTTCATCTTCAAAAATGCGGCTCGGCCACAGCATACTGCAAAAGCTGATCTAACTAGCCTGTAATTTGAAAATTAGTGGTAGAAGACGCATACATTATACACGCATAAATAAGTAAAATCTAGAGTTTTTTAAGGCAGAATTGATAATTTTGTTTAGAGTCAAGTCTACAAACTTCAGTCCCATAAACCCACGCACTATCCACTACGATGCGAGACCCTTCGCAATCACGTTATCTTTTACTCTAGATTGAACAGATACTGATTGTCAGTATTTAGCGCATAAACCAGTGAATACATAAAATTAGTTTGTTATTTAAATCTACAGAAGAACTTTCCCGATAACTGTCAGATTCTCGTCTATCGTGCACAATGCGAGAAAAAATTCCTAGAAAGTACAGAATCCTTCTGACAGGATTGGCCTTTGCCTCAGAAACTAATATTTATCAAATAAGCAACTTCATTTCTCTGCGTATATAAAAAATTAAAAGGTAAGACGTACGCACAGATAATCCTGTCTCATTCCTGCAAGCTGATCCACTCTTAATTAATGACGAAGAGTGATTCTCGATAGTCTTACAATCACCGTAAAAAATTTTTAATTCATCCCAACCTCACATATTCTATAGCGCAAGTTTTCTGCGTTAACGTGCTTCCCTTGAGGTCATATAAATCTTATTTATCATATGGATTAACTTTTTCGCTCATCAAAGGTATCAACAAAATTTATAGAAGCACCGAAATCCAAGGAAATTAACCAGACTCAAACCCCACAGTTGACAAGTTAATCTATCAATCTACTTTATTGCAATTGCAAGCGAATCCCAGATGGATCTCAATAATCTCGCCAATGACCCTATGAACTCTATAGCAAATTACATGCTAAAATCTTTGAAATTAGCACTTCTCGAGAAGAGACAACTATCATTCAATCAGTTCTACATAATGAATTACAACTTATCACGGCATAAACCAGTAAACCAAATGGACAACCACCTGATTTATAATAAGCCCGCTAATCTCGACGACTATCATATTATTATAGCTTCATGTATTTGCTTCGCACTTGTTCATTTGACTTCATTAACTTGATGTTCACGCTTATCAAGTATTTTGTACTCTTAATCATGTGAGTTGCATATGCGCTTTCAACAACGATAAGATATTAATTACGCTAACAATGAATGGATTTAAAATTCAGCGTATAAAATATAACTCGTGCGTCTTTTCATTCTATGTGTCCAGCATAAAGTAACTTCATCCTTCAATTGAAAAAATTTAGGACTGAACCATATACATACTCGAAAAAATATGAAATAAGATGAAGTTTTATACTGCACTACAAAAATACAATTTGTAGAGCAATGACTAATTTTCACGAACAATTGAAACTTCCCGAAATATGCGCTTATAATATTATTATCGATATACCAACTTTCAAAGAAAAGAGTACCAAGTTTTGTTATTTCAAGTCTTTCCAATCAGAATCTTTATCAAGTACAAAAAATGGGAGCAACGTTAGGAAAGAATGTTTTGGAAGTGTGATTGAAATATATGAGTGAAAATATGATAAAGTATATTAAATATTAATCAGAAGGCTGGAATCAATAACCATTTGTTCATATTTCGATATTTCTTCATTTAATTCTTTTTCTTATTGCTTTCTTTTGCTTCCTGCTCGTTTTTCCATTCTTTAACTATTAGTTGTTGCATATCAGGTGCAACTGGTGCGTATCTAAATAACGAAAATCACTTCTACAGTTTGAAGAATTGACTGAAGATAAAGATTATTCGTACAAAAGAATTACAAAATTTAGTTTGCCGCATCCAGTTATTTCTTTCAATCACAAACCAAAACATCACGAATACTAAGGATTTTGCCTTGCCGATCAAGCTCTGGATACTATATCATGCACTGCATGAATCTCAAAAATACTGTAAGTTTCATCAGAAATTATGAAGCTACCTCACAAATTCCATTACAAATTCTCCTTTGCCTTTCGTCATTGTTCGCAACTTTGTCGAATAACCAAACATTGCCCTCAAAGGAGCCTGAAATGTATTTACGGTGAAATGTTATTCATGTAACTTACTGCATGCTCTCTAAAAGAGTAAAAAAATTTTCTTGAATCAAAATATTTACATAAAAAACCAACGAAAGCTAACTTCACATGTAACTGTTAAATAGCCATCAGACAGAGAAGAGTCTATCAGGACTGATCCCATTGACAATGCATTCGATATAGAATTCTGAATAAAATTTATGAAATTCAAACTAAAAAACCATTCATCAGAATTTGTGAAACTAATTATGGAACCAAAAACTGATCTCAAACAACCTGAAATTCCTCCGGAACAGTTACATCCACTCTCATTATAGGTTCCAATAATTTCCATTCAGCTTTTAAAAAAGCTGCAAATATTAGGCTGTAAAAAATGACACGAAGATCCAGTGATTTCGTAATCGAAAATTAAAGAGATCACATTCATTATATAGTTTTGTAGTGCTGGAATTCATTCAGCAATGAAAGTAAACCTTCTCTCATCATATTTTGTGCAGTGTTTATCATAGCAATATCAGTTGAATCCACTTCATGCGTTTTACCACTTTGAAGTCGTAAATTTATCCCAACGATTTTGCTATGAATTAAAGGTCCTTGATCTAGTATCGCATTGAACCCCTGATAAAAAAAAAACCATTGAAGAATTTCTTCCTTATTTACCATTTACATTTTCCTTAGTTTTTATTCCTTCCCCTCACTATTATCATCCTGCCCCATACAATCTCCAAATGCAGACCTTACTTTTTTCAATGAGATTATAAGATTTTTTGGTATAGTGCCTCCAATGGTCTCATCAACAAAATCATTCTCTGTGTTGCGCATTGGCGGTAAGGGTTCTAGTACTCCTTCAATTTCTCCAAATTGTCCTTGACCTCCAGTTTGTTTTTTATGTCGATAATAAAAGCTTGAAAAATAACACTGCACTTAAAAAAACGGTAATAATTTTTTGCTTGTTTAAAGCCAGTGCTTTGAATGTTTTTAAAAAGAATCTGATGAAATTTATAGCACTCACAAATTGAGAGGCAAACTCTTCAAAAATAATCAGGTATAAAAACTGCTCCATGAAAATGAAAGTAAAACATACTTGTACGGTTTCGCAAGGGTTTCACGGTATGCTACAGCTGGTGCGCCCAATACAACAGGACAATTGAATTCATTTTTCATACGCTGGGCATAAATTTCCTAACAAAAATCAGAATCAGACAGTAAGGAATTGAAGAAAAGATTACTCAAACTTTCTACGAATTTTTTAAATGAAATAAATACAAGGTGTAGTTCGCCCATTCCTGAAACTACGGTTTCTCTTGCTTCTGTATTATATTCTTTACGAAATGTTGGATCTTCCTTAGTAAAACGATTCAATGCTCTCATGAATTTTTCACCATCTTTATTGTTTATGCATCGAATAGACATACTTATAACAGGTTCCGGAATATGCATCGATTCCTAAAAAATTCATTATAATGAGACTGAAAAGCGGTTTTTCTCCATAGTTCGCAAGAAAATAACACATACACAGAATATATCTAGATCTTTTTGGCCACAAAATGTTTCCCCAGAGAAACAATCCAACCCATAGGTAGCACAAATGTCACCAGCAAATGCCGTTTCTATTTCCTAAAAAATGAAAGACACCTAAAATCATGACAGTTTTAGTATGAATTATTTTTGTCCGAGAATTATAAATTAAGGATTGTAAAGCAGCAGCAAAACAATATTAACTGTAACCAGAATGGCCTCATAATTCAGTAAATTCTATTATTCTCCTATAATAAGTCCTATCAAATTACTTTCTATATCTCATATCTCTTCCATTTTCTGCTATTAGAGTCTTGTTAAATTTGTTGTCACGTGACTGCTAGTGAAAAAAGTTCCAGAGACTAATAAAATCCACCAGAAAGAGTTGAAAATTTCAAATTAATGAAACCCAATTATACCTGCAATGAATTCGCATGTAAACGAACTAATTTTTGCACACGCACTTTCCTACCATCTTTTGATGCATAAATTGAATCACCACGAGATAACTGTCCTTGATATATACGAAAGTACGTAAGCTGTCCAAATTTTCCTGCCTTCAACACATTTAAAAAACTAAAAATGGAAAAAGATATTTGATCATGATTGAGTCACAATTCAGTGCAGATTGAAAGACTAAAATGAAGAATGATTCGAGAATAGATTCAAAATGGGGATATGAATTCACATAACATGAAAAATAATGATAAAATAAGTGAAAATAACCTCTAGTTTGAATGCAAGACCAACAAATGGATGATTATTACTGCGTTCAGTATTCAATATAATTTTTTCTTCTTTGCCTGTACTGAAATATTTGAAATATGCTTATCTGTAGTTTTAAATTATTAAAAATTTGATGAAATATAAACGAAATTTTGATAAAATATAAAAAAATCGATCACGGAAAATGATGGCAAAATCATATGCAGCATCAGCTCTAAAAAAAACTTGACACATTATTTTGAGAGCATCAATATCTAAACAAATAGATATTTACATCTTATTTGCTATTAAAGCCTGGTTTTGCACTTCAGACGGATTAGGCAAATATCGAACGATACCACTTATCATTGCCTGCACACCTTTATTTTTCAAGGCACTACCAATAAATAGCGGCGTAAAAGATCTTTTGATCGTTGTTCGACGAATCGCTTCGTGAATCTCACTTGAAGTAGGTACTAGATTATTCAACCATTTTTCCGCAATCGTGTCATCAGCATTTGCAAGGTTTTCTGCAATTTCTGCGATACACACATAAACGGATTATGATATTAAAAAGTGATTATAATATTAATCTATCTCATTTTAATTTGAAGTATTTGACAAGAAGAAAACAATAGATATAAATAATGCTAAACATATTACTGTCGTGCAATATTATCCTCTATTATCTTTGCAATAAGCAAGCGCCAAATAGAGTTGGTGAAATATGAATCTCAAAACATGAAATGACAACGCATTTTTCAGAAACGTGAAACAGAAATCTCACTTTTTTTACTATTATATGAAATATTATGAAACAGTAAACATAACTATTTTAAAAAAGTTGAAAGATAAGAGCCAAGACCAATTTTTATTTTCACTCATAGTTGAAATTTACCTATCAATTCTTGACGCATTTCTTTTGCTTGTGATCGCAGTTCATGAGGAATTTCGTCCTTTCTTAATATGCTTCCATCAGGACCTTCATTATACTCTGCTTGTTCTTCAATTAGATTTACTAAACCCTAAACTACCCACAGTGTAAATGAAAATAATTCAAACAGAGAGAGATTTTTCTACAAAAAGGAATAACATTTTGAAATACTAAACCCTGAAATCGCGTTCCTTGCCAATAGGAATCTGCAGTAAAGCTGCATTATGCTTTAATTTCGTTCGCATATCAAGTAATGCTCTGCAACACACAAATAGTTACTTGTTTTTAGATAAAAAGAAAGTTATGATTAAATACGAAAACTGAAGTACTTAAAAGGATTTGCACAGGTTCGATCCAACTTGTTGATAAATGTAATGAAAGGTATATTGTAGCGCTGTAACTGTCTATTTACAGTGAACGTTTGGCTCTGCACACCTCCTACACCACAAAGTATTAATACAGCACCATCCAAAACACGCAGAGCTCGTTCAACTTCCACCGTAAAATCAACGTGTCCTAATTAAGAAACACAACCAATAAAATTTACAAATCATATAAATCTGTCCACACTTGAGAGAGATAGTTAATTGATATTTTTATCAAAGCTTCTATCAGATTATCAAAGAAATACAAACCCGGAGTATCAATGATATTGATATTCACATCATCCCAATCAATATAAGTGGCAGCTGACTGTATTGTGATGCCTCGTTCTTTTTCTAATTCCATAAAATCCATTGTTGCACCCACATCATCTTTTCCTTTCACCTGAAAAGATAGTTGTATCTATACTCGTTATTACTTCATTAAGTTCGAAAGAAAATTAAAATAAATAAATTGGAATATTCAGCTTCCAGAAATATTTTTGCAGGAAAAAAAATCATGGAAAACTATGGAAAAAAAAATTGCCATAAATCCACATCAACGATTCTAAATTGCAAATAATTATTTAAATTAATATGAATTCACAAATAAAAAATTGTGATTAGTGAAGCCAATGGGAATATCTTTACTTCAAAGTAACTTGAATCATTATTACTCGAAGATTACAAACTTAAGTATGAAGTAACAAGAACAGACTAGTTTTTAATTCATCTTCGCATTTCAGAATCATTCAAAGCAGATATTTAAATCCAGTGATACTAATTTATAATTTAGGTAGTTCAAATTTAAACCTGAAAAATGAACCTGTTTACAAAAGCAAATCCTAATCAATAATTCTATGAAGGAATAAAGCAATTACTTTTAAAATCAAATCTTACTTCATGCATTTCTCTAATACGGCCTGCATAATATAAAATCCTCTCTGTAACTGTTGTTTTCCCTGAATCAATATGAGCCGATATACCTGGAAAATTCTGCAAATGAAAAAAATTAAAAATGTTTTATGGTAAAGTCCACAGCATTTTTTTAGAAAATTTGGTATGCTAAAGAAAAACCTATGTTCCGAATTTTTTCCAACGGCTTTATTCCATATGAAGAGACTGATTGCGGCTGTAATGTTGACAGATATCTCCAGTTTTCCATGAACTAAAAAAAGTCTTCTAAAATGAACATACTAACAATAATTTTATATAAATTCGTGACTCTATTAGATATAATCAATCAAGAAGACCTTATTAACAACTAAGGACATTACATTACTTGAATGGCGATAAAGTGGGACTTCTACTAATGACAACTTATCACTTTTTCAGTGTCTTTCAATCACTTACTCAGTATAAGTGACAGAGGATAGTATATAACATCAACAATGTACATAAAAACTTACCGACTTCATAACAAACGAAAGATGATGACCTGTACGATGCAAAACCATTGTCGAAAGTAAAAGTTGAAAACCTGTATCACCTAAACATGATGGATACGTAGCCAGCCTTTAACTCAGTTATGAACCGAAAACTGCCAAAAACACGCTTGACTGTGCGTAAATGGAATTTTACAAAAACTAAATTACTCTTCTAGAGCCATTACTGTACACCCTAAACACTACATAATGCTAATACTTAGAAATCTTTCTTCCCTTATACACCATCAAGTGAAAGACGGCAACTAATGAATTGGAGCTGTTCTCAAAGAAAATAAAAAGACATAAGACTTTCTACATTGTAGGGGGATTGCTAATTACTGCAGTACGAGTGGATACAAATTTTATTTCTAAAGTCTTTAACAAGAACAACGATAACCAAAGGCGCATTAGAAATAAAAATGAAGTCAAAAAAAAGAGTAAACAACAGAAAACAAAGATCTTATTACTGATATATTTACTGCAAAGTATACAACCAACAAGAGATCATCTCAAATGAACGTAATATATGAAGCCTATTTGATATGTGACAACACTGCCCTTCTTTTCTCAGTATCTTGAAATAAGGCTATAATCAAATGTTGTACTTCAGCTGCTTCAAACCATTTCGCCAGAGGACCTTCTTTATTATCCCAGCGATCAGATATTTCCTAAACTATTCAGTGGTATTTGCGAATGTCCAGCTTACTTGGAATTTCCAAAGTAAATGTCAAAAATAAAAATATAATACTTGTTTCTTACTTGCAATGTAGCGCTGAAACAAAATAACAGTTCTTTCATGCAGAAATATGGCTTTTCGATATATTCATCTATAGAAGAATGTTCCTTGTCAACACTCTAAAAGAATTAACAAGTTGCTATTCTAAAAAAATAAAACAAATAAATGAAAGCACATTTCTTTGAGTAACGATTTTGGAGAATTGTGACATTTTTAATCAGAAAATGTAGACATCCGAAATGCGACAAATCCTTTGTCTTTGTTTTTGAAACAAAATGCTAATTTTAATGTGCACTATATTTTGAAGCATAAAATTACAGTTAAATAAATGCGACCATTTTTTAGACTTACAGCTAAATAGATCCAAACTTTATTTAGAAACTCACGACAAACAACATCTCTAATCTTTTCATCGCATTAGCCAGTATAATGGAGCATAAATCGACATCAGTAGCACGAAAATCTTCTATAGACATCAGCATTTTCAACAAAGCATTAAGGAAGAAAGAAACGATATCAGTCATACAGTAAATCCAGTTATTTTTATTAAAAACCTGAAAAAAAATAAACTTTACAGTTTTTTAATTATTTAATTTATTCAAACAAAATTGACACACTTCATTTACAAAGTAATCGATTTATGAAAAAACTGGAGTAAAACAGCTGAGAACACTGCTCGTTTACTCACATAAATGGCATCAAGCAAATGAATGAAAGGCTCATCAAAACTGTCCAAAAAAGTGGTGATAATTTAAAAATTAGTCAATATTTACCGATTTCCAAGTTTCGGATATTTGCTCCAGCTGCAATAAACAACTATTCAGGCTCTTTGTGCATTTTTCATACTGAGATACATATTCCAGATCAATAAATACTGAAAGACATTGATGACAGTAAAGAACTAAACATTGGAAATATGTAATGCTGAATTTACCAACTTTTGTTATCATCTAAAAATGAAGAAAACAGCTGATGGCATTGCTCCAATTGCTTGTTCACTGCTTTCGTAGCCTCTTGACGTAGCAGTGGAATCAAATCACCGAACGAAACGGATAAATTATTGGCCTCAAAAATATTATCCCAGTATTTAGTGATTTTTTCTGTTTTTATGCATTTGTATTTTACTGATACTGTCAATAGTGAGTCGACCATGGTTCAAGAATTAGATTATAAATTCAGTATAATTTCAGAAAAAAAATTTAATAACCTGTAAGAAATCCCTCATTTCAGGAAGCATTTGGACAGTTATAGTCATTAGTCTATGACAGATATAGTGACAGTTGTTACTAAAGATTGCTGAAAATGATATTTCCGATCAGAATGAACGAACAAAATGAGCGCTTGTTGTACAAAATGATCGTTTTATTATTTATAAAAACGCAAGTTATCGAACCAAAACACAAAACTGACTCTAAACAAAGACGAACTTGTAAAAAGTAGTAGCTCAATTTTGAATGAAACATACTATTAAAAACATTAATTATACATGATGCGATCTAAAACCAAAAACCCAGACTGCACTAACTGCGATGAAATGATATATAAAAAATTAGAAAATGATACAAAGCAAACCTGCCAAAATAGGTATAAACGATATTTCGGAACTGTGTGATTTGTAAGCGGTAAATATGAATAATTCTACAATTCTGCGAGACGTCTCCAAAATTTTAGTGGCGTCAGAAGATTTGGTTTTTATGACGCTATTTACGGTTAGTGACACCAAATCTGCTATTTCTACAGCTGTTTTACTAAAACAAATATTAGAAATATGCAGAACTAGTAACCTCGTGAAAATGATACCTATAACTTTCAAGAATTACGTTTGCCAATCAAAAAAATATATTTTTTGTCATTTCAAAAATATATTCTTTCAACTAAACTAGCTTAATCTTCTAACTTCCAACAACGTAGTGCGGTATGTAGTAAAAAATTTTTATAGCTATGGCCCATTGGTTAAAGCAGTAATAATATAATAACTTGAATAATAAGAATCAGATTATATTAACAAAAAATAAAAAGAAATCAGACCTAACTTGAGTCGGCATAAAATGGAAAAGTTCTATATCGTAATTTTGGTTCGTATTAGAATCATTCTTCTCACGTACGTCAAGTTTAGAAAATTTTTCACAAATATCTTTATCATACTCGACCTACAAAAAAGAAAAGTTCAGAAATACCGAAACTTAATATTTCGCTGCTCAATTTTAAAATAATCTAATGAGCATAACTTCAGCACCAAAACCTTAAAACAAACAACGTTTTATGATAAAATTATATTTCATTAAAATTCGCTAAACTGTTGTATTTTTACATCTACCAAAATTACAGATGTAACAGCAAAAAATAAGTAAAAATAACTGTACAGTGATAATTTCTCTTATTGGTGCAGCAATTAAATCTCGTGCTTTTCCAATAATTTTATTACATCGTCGATCAATTAACAAACTGTGGCTTGGTTCAGCAAGGTTTTGAAATGATTCTGTAGAATCTGAGAACAATCCAAGCTCCTGAAAAATATTTAATAAGGCAGATAAATATTACCGTAATAAGTAAAGAGAAAGAAACTTTGATACAAACCTCCATTTCTTTGCTAAATTTATTTGCCAATTCAAAAACATAATCGAATGCAGAAACATCCATATTTTCATCTTGAATTACTGGAGTAATATACTCCTGATTTATTAGTTTAACAATTTCATTTGATATTTTACCCCCGATCAACTGAATGAGGTTTTTTCCGTTTGCATTCATTGTGCTCAGATTTTTCTCAAGGTTTTTGAAAAACTTTGACAATACCCTGAAAATGCTTAGGGAGAGAAATCCTTTTACGATTGTTTCCATACTCAATAACAAAAAACGATGAAATTATGATGCAGCTCCTCAGGGAATTAATTACGTTTAATAACCAGAATGCACATAATGATTATCTGCAATCTTTTACTATCATAATCCAAAGACAAGTATTTTCAAGAACTAACCGCAAAACTTTTCCAGGGTCTGAACGGGGGTTTTTTACTGGATCAGTATTTTCTTTCAGATACATTACTTCTTCTTTTCGAACGAAATATTCATTATATTCGTGAGAAAATTGATAGATGACAATATCTGTGGGATTTTTACAAGCGAATATTCTGCTACAGAAATGAACGATCAGAGCAGATGAAAGATGACTGATTTTTTTGTCGAGCAGATTTAAAATATCCATTGCGGAAAGCTTCTAAAACAAGTAATACTATATGATTTACATTCATGGTGTAATCTAGAAACAAATCACTTAGTAGTTGTCTACATACTAATTTTAAAAATGAGCAAAATATAAGAGATGCTAGATCTAAGAAGAAAAAAATAATCTAACCACGTACTAGTAAAATTATAGTGAAATGTTAAAAACAAAAAGTATAAACTCACTTCATTTAAACCCTCACTTCCACATTTTTTAATTTTCAAAGTAACTGCGGAGTTCAGTTCTGTTATTGAAAACAAATCATCCCAATAAAAATTTAGTTCAGAAATTGTAGCTTGACGTAACGAAATAATTTCTTTCTTAAATGCTGAACAAATGCGGTCTATAGATGATTGATGAACAATTTCCTTATCCTAAAATTATTTTAATCAAATCATAGTTTGGAAAGTTTGTGCACTGAAATAACAAATCAACCAATTCATACGCATGTTACTCTGTTGACATGAAGAAAAGACATCATTATCAAAAGATTGCAGGCAATTACTTTTAGTATATTCTTCAATTTTTCTTCTACTTCAATTACAAGCCGTGCGATGACTAAAACATTCTCCTCCACTGACAAGTATTGAAATTGAGAAATCAAGGACTCAATTTCTTCTAGTGAGTGCAATTTCGATCTCCAAATCTTTAGAGATTCCAGCTTTTTCAGTTTTGCTGCCTAAATAGATTCACATATAGATAATCTCTTAATTTAATTGACAAAAACAGTGAATTACTCATGGAGAGAGATTATATTTCGTCATATGTCTGTTATACATCCAATGAAATTATTAAGACATGCATTCACGATTTCAGTCATTCGAATTCATCCCATAACCATAGTATAGTCAATAAACTGGATTGAAACTTACAACCTTTATAAGCAAAATTATCAAAAATTATAACTGAAAGCAGAATAAAATAAAAGACTTGATCACAGCTTACATCCAGCTGAACTTCCTTTTCCAAATTGGCAATAGTTTCACAAATCGATTCGACTGCGTGATCGACATCATTACAGGTAGAATATAAAGTACTCATCATCTTATTAGTAGCAACCAAAGCTGGTATACATTGAATACATTTTTTTTCCATATCTGATGCAATAGCAGTCATTGCTGAAGTAAGCTATTTATAAAAAGGATTATTCATATCAAAAATATGATTAAATCTGATTATGTTAAACGAAAATTCTGCAAGGACTTCTATTATGCATGAGTGATAAGACTTGCTAAGAACTGATATAATCAGTATTGTTCTATTCACAAGCAATAAATGATGGAATCTGAATTTTAACCCTAACAAAGTCATTAAAAAGCCATATATATAAAATCAAAGTCACTTGCCATTAGCGATCATGAACTCTAAATCAGAAATTTTTTTCGAGACATCAAGTTTAAGATCAGTTCCTTTCGTGACTAGATTCATATCATTCGAAGCAGTGACTGAAATTTCAGCTTTACAAATAAAATACATGGAATATAATGCAGACCAATTTTCTTCTAGTAAAAAAATATGTATACTTTTATGCCTCCCGAACGCAATATACATATATAGTGTTTGGGATATAGAAAAAGTATTTTTCGACTCCACCAAGTTGTCCAACCACTATGCTCCAGAAACATAAAAATGGAGGATAAAAAGTAAAAAACCCATATTTGGGTCACAAATGAATACAGCTCTAGGTGTTAGTAACAATGCTGTGTAAACAGGACAAGGGAGTTTGGCCGGTGAAAAGCTAGAAGGTAAAAATCTAAAAGAGACCAAGTGTATGTAGGGAATAAATCTCAGACTTCCTCTGATATATGTATCACACGTTGGCTTCATGAATCGTGAACTGAACTTATGCTTCTCCAACACAATATGTTTGTCAATACTGCGCACATATCTATTACGAGAGCTGAGATTTTTTTTTCATTGAAGCTAATACGTTCACAGCGCGCAGAGAGCAAATAGTGTACCATATCTAAAGGCTAGATACAACCTTGGAGAAAATCCAACTATCGAAAACGTATTAGCAGCTCAGAAAACGTTGTTGTACAGGAATAGAAAAGAAAATTTGTCATGCAAAGCTATACAAGATCCGCAGAAATGAGCTAGCTTCAATGTCAGATCCATCAACGTGGTTACAATTCGGAAAACCTTCAAGATAGAAATATGTCTGAAGCTGAGGAAAGTATGCATCCATATTGTAGGAAACGTGTGAAAACGGTGGACCATCTAGCAACACAATGCAAAAAAATGTTATATCACGACTGTACTAGAAGATACAATGAGGTTTTAAAATGCATTCATCTGGGACTTTGCAAAAAATGTGGTTTGAGAGAATTCTCACCAATGCGGAGCCATTTTGTTCGAAAAATCTTGGTGATGAAAACGTGGAGATAAAAGTCAACGCACTGAAAAACAGCAAGTGGAATAAATTCGATGCAAAGAACTCCTGATCCTGGTGCACGGTAAGAAGCGGTACGAAGAACTCGTGATAAAGTTTGGCATTACAGGTCAAGACGGGTTGATAGTAGTCGGAACCGAAAAAAAGCAAAAGTATGATTAACTGGCTGATAAACTGGGAGCAGAGATCAAATGAAGGATAAATGTGATGACTTGCGATGGGATAGTGACGAACTTCCATAAGCGTTACGCGAATTATTGTATCTGATCAGGAGGAGGCGTATATCTAATAGACGGGCACAGCAGTACTGGACACGAATGCCAGAATACGATCCAACGTCAGAATCAATAATGAAGAAAGAATTAACCTATATATATATAATACTTGTAAATGCTTACAATTATTGTTCGAAGACATGATAGTTTTAGTTTGGTCGTTACAATTTCGTTTTCGCTTCAAGTGATGTAGCCTTCGTTATTTTCTACAAACCAATTAATGATAATTAAACTGATAACATGTAAATGTTCTAAGAATTATTTATGTGATTATTTCGAATAAAGTCGTTGAGAGTAAACAAACATTTATTTGATCAAGCGCCAAACATATGCTGATTTCAAACCTAATTAAAAATCGACCAGCTTCTTACATCACGAATAAAGCTTGTTTTCAGGCATGTAGACTGAATAAAACAGTTGCTTCTGATTTTAAAAATTATATGAAATTTATTTTCATAAATAGAATGTGTAAAACTGGAGCACAAGATTGGATGATTTGAAAGATGACATATATGAAATCTGCCCACCTCAAACTTGACACAACTTACCAATTCAAAAATTTGAATAATGAAAATTTTTTGTGAAAACGCAACTAAAACTTTTTATTTATTCCAAAACATCGACGTGATTTCAACAACGTGACCGCCGTTTGAAGTATTTACAACTCGCGTACTCAACAGTCCAGATTATCAAAGTGATTTAAAGTGACTCAATGCTACACACAACATCTCTATTCTAATCGTTAAAGAGAATTTAAGAAGAACGACATGAGCGGTTATTGCGTGCAGCGATGCAGAGTGCAGTATGCAGCACGTGCAGCGATGCAGAGTGCGGTATGTAGCGCGCGCAGCGATGCAGAGTGCAGTATGCAGTGCGTGCATCGTTGTGATGCTAGGACTGCGATTAGCGACAACAAAGAAATACATTAAACTGCTTGTATGAAGTTGTTCAGTCGCAATATTATTTTCATTACTTTATTAAGTTTCACTTCAAAGTTTTATAGCTTTTACAGTAATCAGTGTAGATTCCATTTCAATTTACTGTAGCCTGAGTTAGCTGGTTTTCGAGATATAAATTTTGTGACAGAAAATATTGATTTTTAGAAATTTTCTTGCAGGTGAGTTTGGTTCAATTGTTTTGAATGGTGCCTACGAGGAAAGGTGCTGACGAACGAACTAGTCAGTTTACCTCAACGGCGTGAGTTACACTTAATGTCTTATTTCGTCACTTACGTTAGATTCACAGGAACTAATGTTCATGTATTGACGATGAACTTATGCTGAATCAGTGATTTACATTAACTGTTCTTGTTATATAAGAAATACTTGAATATTTAAAACGAGGGAAACTAAAACGTCTTATAGCACTTATAGAAACCAGTAAAAAGATATATATGTTCTGAATTTGCAAAACACGTCTGATTGTAGTTTCATGAATTCAAAGAAATAATTCTCTGGCTTGTGCTTCGCAGAAAATAAAATCTATTCTTGTGAATTTTTTGAAGTGCAAGTTGACGTAGGAGCACTGTATACATATTAGTTACTTTCTGATATGAGTGTGTGTGGACGTCATAAGTTGCTCTTGATATATATTGTTTTAATTATTTAGCAGATTCATTTACATATCAAATTTATGAAGTTGTAGATGATCATATTTGCTTAGAATGATATGGCAACTCTTGTCGAATTATTCCTGGATAATTCTGCAAAAATTTTGCTTCCTTGCAAAAGTTTTAGATTTTGTTTTGTGCATTAGTAATATTTTGGAATTCTAGCTGTTGCAGTGTAACTGTTCATCTCTTTTTTATACGTTACTCCAAAGAAAGCTGTGGAACAATAGAAAATCCCATAAATCAAAGCAATTACTCTGCGCACATTTACATAGCTGCTTATGCTTAATCAAGCTTATATTTATTTAACATGAAACTCAAGGCGTGTAATGACAGTAAGAATCAAAATTTTTCGAATGTGCGAGGAGTTTGAAAAATCGTGTGTGTTATTAATGATTGTCAAGTACATATTGCTTACATAGTCAAGTACATATTACATAATCGAAAATCATAATTTATTTCAAATACTCTAAATTTTGCTGTTTTGATAATTTGTTTCATTGACTTTAAGAAATGATCGGGGGAGCAGTAATAATCGTGCGTTGCAATGGACAAATGGCCTTACTGCGTCAAACGCCTTCATAACATTGGTCACGGGCCCTTCACAAAATTCAGAAAGTGGAGCAGAGTCAGAATCTGTTTCTGCAAATGTCTGGCACGGTAATGATACGGGTAGCGTCAGTTTTGCTGGTCAAAGCAATACGCAACAACTTCTCGCCTCGACTGAAAAGGTTATTTATTTTTAGTGCACTGTACTTTACCCTTGGAATTCATTGTCTATTCACTTGGTTATGGAAAGCTATGAAACTTTTAAGTCATAAAATCTTCAGGTCACATTATTTATTTCAAAGTTCTTCAACTTACAATATTATTTGTCTTAAAGTTATTGAACTGATTAAATCAGAATTTTTCAAAGTTTCAAAATCAAAAAACGATCTTGTTTGTAAGATCACACTATCCAGTTTGACAGTACGTGAAATGCCCACAACAAGCAAAGTTAGATCTACTGCTGTGTTATTTTCTGACCACACTATTCACCATCTAATTTGATTATCAGAAAATCAGAATGCTCTTAATTTTGAGAATTTTAGTAATCACTTGACTGAAAGTTGAAAGAGTTAGAAATTCGAAATCGAAAAATAATTTAAAATTGTTTCTTTTAACCTTATATGTAATTGTCACTAGCAGAAAACAGTGACTTAATTATCATTGAATGGAATTGTAGGTCCGACGTAGTTATGGTACCACTGATGATAGCACGTCAAATACCCACAGTGAACAGGTTACAGTTACTGCTATGTCATTTTCTGATCACATCTATTCACCATCTAACTTGATTACCACTACATCAGAGTCAACGGTTAAACCTGAATTAGGTACTACCTGTTCTGTACCATTTTTATGATTTCTATTGTTTGAAACATGTAAATGATGTCACTAATGACCTAAAGCTTTAAATACATATTTCATTAACGATGTTGTGGTCGTTAGTGGTGATGCGAAAGCTGCGTCAGTTGTTGAAAATCGAACTGCTAAAGCAAGAAGTAGGTTCTAAAATTTCAATATACACTTTGTTTATAGTCTTTGCTTTCATTACAAAGTCATCATTTCAACAAAAATTAGGATATATGAAGAAGGCTATAAAACTTTCAAGCTACAAAATCTTCAAGCCATTTGTTTGTTCCAAAGTTTTTCAAGTCACAATATATTTTTTAAAGTTATTGAGTTAACTATATCAACTTTTCAAAATTTGTGAAACATTTCTAGTAATCTGGACTGATGATCTTCGCGAAATATTAATTCAAGAAATGAAAAAACGACCTTGTTTGTGGGATCAAAATCATCCAAAATATAGGGATGTGCAATATGCAGCTAATGAAAGGAATGAAGTTATTGAATCGTTTTATCATCGAACAGGATATGCTTTGAATGGTATCTTAATTAGAAAATCTTCAAATCTTAATTAGAAAATCGAGGATTTTAAAGCAATTGATACAGATGATATTCTATTAAATTTAATTCAAGTTATATTTACTTTGAGTTTAAAAGAGTTGTAGTGCAAGTTACGGTTCTCAGGAGCTCTAAGTAAATTCACTCTTGGTTTTATTTTTTTTTAAAATATACGGGATTTTAATGACTCATGATAAGTTCAGCGGAAGATATAGCAAGACAGTGGAAATCGTTACGAGATCAATATGTGCGTTTTATCAATAAAATAAGAAATATGGAACCTAGTGACAGTCGATTTCCATCATTCAAGTTTTCAGAAGAGCTAAAATTCCTAATGCCTTATAGACAGTTACCTCAATCCCGGTAAGTCTCATTTCAAAATGGCATTAAAAAACATTACTTTTTTTAAAAACGAAAAATCTGAGTATAGGAAGAGTTAGAAGTGATGTAATGGGACGCAACGATGTTCCTTTTTATTATCTTGTTCTATCAAAATATATGTCAAATGGTCTTCATTAATTTAGTTACTGTATCATATTGAGTGATGAAAATGGTCTGCAAAATCTGAATGAAAGCAGTGTATCAAAAGAATCCTGTTCTGAATTTACATTTCCCAGCACCTCAGCCACCAACCTTTTACCGTTTCGTCGTAAAAGAAGACACGAGAAATCGTCAGATTACAAGACGCAGAAAGATGGTGACTCGAAAATTCATGACAGAGAAGACGGTTGCTGTTCAAGAATGGATGAGTTCGATCATTTTGGTCACTAATCTAATTATTTTTGTATAATATTTATTTATGACAGTTCAGAAGGTAGTCGAAATGTGTAGTAATCATCTAGTTTAATATGTTTTCTAAATCATTTCTTTGTTTAGTTTTTGATAGTTAGAAGTTTAACACTTTTTATAGACCATGTTATTTGTCAGTTTATTTAACTGATTAAAGGAACAAAATAGAGGATTGATATTGTAAAGTTTATAGGATTATCAATTGCGGATTATATTCGGGGAATCTCAAAACTTGATGAAAAAGCCGCTGTATGGATTAGAGGTGAAATTTGGACATTATTAACTAAGTGTCGTATGAAAACATTAGAAGGATGCAGTGTTAATGGTCCCACTTAAAAAAAACAATAATTAATTGAAACTTGTACACAATTGTATATCTATTTTTTATTAGTTAAGGAATTTTATCATTTTGAACTGTAATTATATTGTTGGATGGAATAATAATTGTTGGGTAAAATAATTGTTATTCGCATTGATTCTGATGTTATTTTATGGTATAATTACGGTTCCTTATTTTTTTTAATGTTGAGAAACTCTAGGAACTATTTAGTATTATAAAGGTACAGTTAATTAAGCCAAACATTCTACTACTCGAATGCATTATATTCATATTGGTATGTTTAGTTCTACTCTTTTTTTCATTGAACAGTTTTAATTTGAGAAATTTTTTTAGTACGATAATGTGTTAATCTTGAATTTATCAGAGCAACAAAAATGTGTTCAGTTTATGTTCGAATCAGCGTTGATTGTTACTTAATTCCACTAGTTAATTCTTAAAAAGGTGAGATTATAGGGCATCTAAAAAGGCCCTCTGTATATTTCTATTTTTACTTATTTTTATTCCGGTTATAGAACTTTCTTTCCAAAAACGAAATTGTTGCTTTGCGCAATTTGTATACATTATCTCTGTTCTTACAGCAGAACCGAAAATGATATCATTGTGTAGGTTGCTAATGAACAGGAATTTCAATTGTTTGAACGATGAGGCCCTTAAATTGAGGCTTTCTGAGATGTAAAGTGATCTTTCCGTTACGTTGTAGAAAAGATAATTCTTCTCTGAATTTGTTGTTCACTTGAAGTGTGTAATTGTTGCGTAATCAGAAATCTGGTTGGATAGTTGCATTTTTCTTTTTGCTATTTGATTTTGATTTCAAGGTTTACTTTAAGTACATGTAAATCTTGCGAGAGGAATGAAGTGTTGACAAATCATGTTTAATTACCTTTTCGTTTGATCAGCTTGTTCAGCATTCAATTGAAAGGTCAATGATATATCCATCAGATGGTCCATGGGTGTACTACATTCAAAAGGTGGACTAAATTAAATTGAAGACGGAACGGTCTTGCAACGATAGCATTTTTACGATATCTGGAATGATGGTTAAAGGGTGGTAATCAGTTAATCCAAATCGTAGCTTAATTATTCTGCGGAGACTTGGTTGGTGGGTAGACCAGTCATATTTTACAAGTAGGTATCACTTTTAAAATATGACGTATAAAAATCATGGCAATCGTTTCCATCATGGTTTTTGTATACCTTTGATTTTTACTAATAAATTTTCGACAATCTTTTATCATGTTTTTGATAGATAGAAATTCATATAAATTCTAATAAGTGTTCAGTAAATGTGTCGAAACTATATTAATATTACTTCAGTAGAATATTTGGTTGTTATCAATATGTAGTGTAGAGTATACTATGTTTGTGATAGTAAGGTTATGTATCCTATTATTTGACTTATGGATAGAAATCGCGAAGTAAATAATAACTAGTATTTAGTTATAAAGTACTGGTATTTATAGATTACTGTAAGTGCCTGTACTTTGAACCATCTTTTTACTCGTTTTTAATGAAATATCTGGAGTTTGCGAAGTGCTAGATCGATAGCTTGAAACTTATTGATTGTCAAATAAGTATTATGGTTTTAATGATGTTACAAAATTTATCGAGTACTCAGTCATTAAAATCGAGTTTTTAAGTATTTAAGCATGGAATTAGTTAGTATTCAATGAATAATATCAGATTGAGCGAATGTGAACAAATATTGTATTAATTTAATGTGACCCGAAGAATCGATTAAAATTTTCTGGCTGGATAAGAGTAAGAGCAATTTGATGAGGAAAAAAAATTCATATGATCATAAGTATTGTTAGTCGCAAGAAATGTTTCACTCATTAATCGATTTATTGAGACTTAATTATTTTAGTTCTCTCTCTCCAGTGCAACACGTTCATTGAATATTTGCTGCTTTCTTATTGTTTATGTTAGTTCTGTACAGTTCTTGTAATTTTTATAAGTTTTATTCGATGAATGCTGTCAATTGCTCGTACTGTTGGTTTTTAATAAGTTTTATTATCTGCCTTTTAAACTAATGCAAAATTATGTGAATTTTCAGTTATTTTTTCTTGTTTTTTTGATCAATAAAATTTCAGAATTGCCCTATCCAGTGATTCATTTAGATATTTTATTTTGAAAAACTTTACCATGAATGATGTCAAGGTAGATTTGTTTTTTTTCATTTCATGTACCATTATGTATAAATGGTTATCTAGCTGACTAAATATGTAGGTGGATGATTAAGTAAGTGTTAAAAATTTTGTTATGGGAAAAATTGTGTGATAAATTAGTTGAAATCGGCGATTTTTAGTATTTTCGTATGCTTTATAACATTAGTATTCCAATATAATTACATATTAGGAAAAACCAAGGATTTGTTCACAAAGTTTTCACCTGAAAAGTTGTCGATAGTTTTTTAAGATTGCAAAATTCTGTCGATTATTGTCTTGTTTTATTGACGTTAATTTTTTCTACATCTTCATGTGATATATTAAGTGCCGTGAAAAATATTTTGGCTCCTAAAAGTTGCGAAATAATGCAAAATTTTATGAATTTTCAGTTTGGTAATGAACAAGTGCAATTATTAATAAGCATTAATTTATATGGCAGCTGCTAGTTCAACGCAGTCATCTGTTTATGGACATTACCCTTCTCCTAGTCACTCAGGCAGTTCGCTAGTTTCTGTAATAATTTCTTCAGGTGTGAATTCAGAGGTATAGGATTCCTCGTAATTATTTTTGTGCAAGATAGTGCTACTGTTTTGGATTACCAAATATGCAGTGGTTTAGCTGAACCAACATATTGCAAATCCGGAATTGATTAATATGATATATGAACAGTGTTCTAAAAATTATGTACCTAGACCATAACTTTGTAATTGATATTAAATGATATGATCTTTAGCGTTTTGTAAAGGAAAAAGATGTACTGCATACTCGTAGACGTAGTGGTTAATTAATTTGTCAAGAATATTATCTGTCGTTGTAAACGAAAAATGTTTTAAGTTCATTCTTGAGTTAATGAGTTTTTATTTATTGTGAAAAACAAAAAATTGGAATAGTCAAAATAATGTATTTTAGAAAGAAGTTCCTGATCGAAACAATTCAGCCACGGATAAGCAATTTGATACTGATATCGAAGCAAATATGAAGTAAGGAACGATTTTCACTTCTTATGAAAGGAATTAACCATCATATACTAATTTTCAAGATTAAAAAACTGTTTTTACCATATTTTTTATTGAAGTTATATTTGTATCATCCAACCTAATATTTTCTGTCTAAAGTTCACGAATTCATTAGTCATAAAGTGACGAACAGGAGGTCAGTTACGAAAAATCTTTGAAATTATCGTATAATAATTTATTTGTTATTTTATATAAAATCTGGACAATTCATAATTAATATTATTATGTTCCGTGGAGCTGAGATTTTTCGGGAAACTTGAGCTTTACATTTATTTGGGCTTAAATGTTTCCTATCATAGTAGGAATATCCAAATTTTATCTTATCTACAGAACGAAGTAATTTTGGTAAATATATGTTAAAATCATCTGCAGGAAGAGCTTCATTTTTCTTCGCTAATTTCTTAAAACTATGTTATTTCAAATTTCATATGGTCTAGAGTGTTTTGTTACTCAAAAAAGTAAATAAGGTTTACAGAGGCACAAAACTGTAAAGTTATCTTATCTTGTTTTCTAGGAATGTAAAAGTTGAGGATGATTCTTGGACCAATGATTCGATAGCCGTAAGTTTTATACTTACATTACTGGATGGTCAAAGCAGTTGTTCTTCAGTTAATATTTAATAGTAAATCAATGTTTGTGTATCCTACTCTGATCTTGCTCCACAAAACATCGTATCAGATCATGTTAATAGAAGTGATCTTTCATTTTTCATCTATATCCATTTTTAATTTTTCAAAAGTGAGTGAATACTAGGTATCTTTGCTTTCTTTAGATATATGCATAAAAAATTATAGTCTAGGAAGTGCCGTGGAAAATTGAATACAAAATTGTTAAATTTTGCACTATGTGTATTCAGGAATCACGAGACTCTACAACAACTTCAGGAAGTTCAGAAGCGAATTCTGTATATTTTAATGAAACACGAAGTCAGTCCAATTCTCAAACTTCACTGCAGACGGGTTGTGGTAAACTTTGGAGAAAAAGTTCGGGCTTATTAGATATAGATATGTTTGAAGTTAAAAAAAGATTTATCAAAAAAATATATTCGAGAAAAGATTTCATGATTTTTCGATCAATAAATGTTTATCTCAAGTGAAGCAAGCATTAATCAAATTCTCGAACTACTGAAGCAATGAGATGAGTAGATCACAGTCATGTAGTTTTTTCTTTTCAGAAACTAACTGTCGTCCTGCTAGCAATCGAAAAAAAAATATGAGTAAGATTTTGTTCTTGTATTTCTTGGTAGCGATATTGCGTTTAAAATATTGATCTTGGAAAAACGAAAAAATAAGTTATTAAGTCTCAGTAAATTGGGTCCTCTCTTTATCTTGTATTCGTGATTTAAAATGACATGATGTTGCTCTGTCGTTAGTAATGGTTTTTGAGAATTACTAAATCTTTGAAATTATACCCTGTAATCTAAAATTACTTTTATTTTTGCTACCAATATTTGTGGCTATAATATTTTTAAAAGGAATGTAATAAGTATTTTCATGACAAATAAAGATTTACTTTGATAGTTTTCATTTGAAAATAAATTAACAAGCATTCAGGTTCACTTTAAAATCGAGTGAGTTATACATAAGAACATTCTAAATGTCAAAATCAGAAATTAGTTTGGTTATGAGGTATCGCTTTCTTGAAGTTATGAGATAATCATCATTTCATACATGTTCTGAAACTTGAAAGTATTGATAGATGGGGATTCTGTGGATTTTAACTCAAGTTTGTGCTTCAGTTTCTTTTTTTTTAGATACCGAGTCTTTACTAGCTGGTCAGTATGGACCATTGAATTGTCGTGTGGACAATTCATTGTTGGTTTTGACTAAGAAATTTATGCAATTACAGCCTCAAGCAAATGAAGATGGAGTGAGCTTTTTCATCCTTTAACGTTATCGAATTTAATTTTATCAAAATGAATGGACATGTGCGTTCAGTTCTCACTGATGAGTTATGTGCATTTTTGCAGTATTCTCGAAAATTATGTTCTGTTGTGATTAGATTTCGTGAATTCTTTCCAAGTTTTGCTTGAGATGCTTTTGAATATTATTTCACTGATTTTGTGGACAAATATTTGTTTTCAAGGGTATGTAGTCAGTAAAGTAATCTTGTGTTTAGTTGTTAAATTTAAACGATGCAGCAATGCGACTGGGTGTTCAGAAACGTCGGCTCTATGATATAACGAACGTGCTGGAAGGAATTGATATGATTGAAAAAATGGGAAAAAACAGCATACGGTGGAAGTGAGTATTTTTTAGCTCCATTAATTTATGCTTCTTTAGTTTTGTTATGATCTAGTACAATAGGAACCTGTCTCAAGCTATATTTCTATGTTTTACAGTTGTAAGAAGCTTACGTTTCTGAATAAGATTATTTTATATCCGCTTATTTGTGGCAGTGCTATTGATACCGTTTGAGATCATAGTTTTTTAATTTTAGAAGTAATGATGAAATCGGGTCTCGAGGAATTGAAGCACAAAGGCTTAAAGAAGAAATTAAAAGTTTGGATCTACAAGAGCAGTCACTGGATGAGTCTATCGCAAGTATTTCGAATGCTCTTAAATTGGCTAAAGAGGATCCAATTGATTTAGTCTACAAGTAGTATATCGTTCATGTTCAATGCTTCGTATCAATTTTTTATTCGTTTTTTATATTACAAATTAAAAAATGAAAAAGAAAATCTTTTTACGTAGTGAAGGTTTCATCCATATTATGTATGGATTTCTTACAGCTATGTGAAATATATGGACCTTCGATCGCTGCCCGGAATGGCTGAACAAACACTGATAGCAATTAAAGCACCGAATGATTCTTTTTCTACGATTGATGTAACTAATCCAATAGAAACAGGGGTAGGGTTTTCTAAATTAGCAAGTATCAAAAACTTGAAAAAGTTAGAGTTTTATTTATTTTCGTGTTTGATTGACAATGTAACCTTTGTAGAAATTTGAAATTCTGATTCGAAATTCGCGAAATGACTCATTGGAGGCGTTTCTGTGTCCATACGATATAACAAAAACAACCAAGCAAGAGGTTTTTTTTTTTTTTTTTAAATATATTTTTTAGAGTTGGCGAATGAACCGCAAATGCTTTCATGTATAATAGTAAGCCAGAGTGGGGCAATAAACGGAATAAATATTTCTTTTTCTTTGCAGTTAAATAATAAACGATTGCTTCAGTATTTCCATTTTAATGCTTGTGGGAAGGGTTTGTGGCATTTGTTTAATTTATTCGCTATGAATTGCTCCTGTAATATATTAATATGACTGTATAGTGTGAAATAATTATATTATCTCCTATCACAAATTTTGATTTGCAAGTTTAATTTTCGATATTTTAGGAAGAAGCTTCAGCCGAGATTATAGATGAAAATCAGTCTAATGTATCAGAGCAATCAGGAAAGGAACATCCAGAAAAAAGTGGAGATGCGCCACAAGTTTCGACCTCTGGACGTAATTTTTGTTTCTGGCTGTAGTAATATTTTAAGTGCTTGATGCATCTGTCATGTTTTGTTATAAGCAGTTCTGATAAATCCTTTGCTAGTTATATTTTTAAATCATTTTTCATTGAAATTTTAGCAAATGCTGTAGATGACGTCGATATGCTGCCTGATAGTACTGTAAATCCTCTAAATATATCAGAAACTCCACTCGTCTCCCCACTGAAAATTGTTGTTAATGGTTCTTTAAATCAAACAGGTGAGTTATAATATTCCCTTCATTTCTTTTTTTTTTTGTTGCTTCTGATTTTCATTATTTTAAGCGATATTTTTTTATTATCACCTACAACATAAGTGTATGCAAAGAATTTAATTTTGGGATTTTTTGTTTTTGTTTCTGTTACTTTTGTTGTTATGTTTCATTTATCATGATGCAAATTTAAATTGTATTGGTAAGTTCGAGAGCTTATTTAAACATTTTTAAATAGTGACAAAAAGTAATAACTGCTAACAAAAATACTTGTCGACATTTTTAAATTATTAATCTGTGCAATTTTGTCAACTTGAATATGCAATAATCATAGTTAGATAATTCATTCAAATTCCGTCATAATTTTGCAGTTACAAGCTCAAATGCCGACAATGCAACATCGTCATATGGCTTGTTAAGTTTGGATCCAGTTGAAGATAGTGAACCATATATGTACAGTATGGGTGAGGATGAAACAATTCAAACATTATATGATTGGCCATAGTCTATTTTATAATCGATTTTTTGATATGATCTCTGTTTTGTATTTTGCTTGACATTGGCTTATTTTCGAGCTGACTTTTAACTGAAGTATTTTTGTGTATAGGCCAGAAAGAATGCAATGCTTCTAGTGAGTTAAATAAATAATGATATATTTTCTGTTTGACTGTATTAGTCATATGGGTTAGCAAGATATGTATGTATGAGAAATAATTGTTAATTTCTACCATTTTTGTATGATTTCCAGAAATTCCATGATGGAAAATATTTCTGTTAAAAATATCCTAGCTTTAAATAATACTAATATTTTTTAAGTTGTAATTAAATTATTCGAAGTTTTTTGAGAGACATTTTTTTGTTTAGATTAGTATACATATGATTTGAGTTGATTTTGTCCGTCATTTCTTTTTTCTGAAATTAGTGAGGTTTAGTATTTGCAGGCTTTCATTTTTATTGGTCAGTTCATAATGTGACACCGTGTTTCACTTTTATCTTTCCAGCTTTATATTAAATTGCCAGAATAGTCAACTGCGCAAATAGTCTTTATTTTTATACAGTTATCTAAATTACGTTCATTTGAGAATTTCTGTGGTTTTTTCATCATTTATGTTTACACTAGTAGGCTAATTTTTTGTGTTATATTTTCAAAGATTAAAATGTCAAGAGGTGACATCGCTTTATGGGAGATTATTTAGATTAAACATTCTGATAAAGCAGAATACTTGAAAATAGCCATTGTCCTTATGAGTATAGTAATTTTAAATCATTGTTTTATGAGGTTGCATTGTATATGCGCTGAGTTACATTATCAGGAATTACTTGATTCATCAATATTTGTACTTAATCCAACTTTGTAACAAAATAAAATTGGTTTTATCTTATAAAATGCAAGAATTAGCCTTGATGAATGAGAAATTGTACAATGATTGGAAAGTCTCATTCAACTCTATTATGTATACAGAATTTTTCTCCAACTTGAGTACTCTTGTATGTTGTTGCTGTTTGCAAAATTTTCTGGTTCTCTTCTATTTGTTGTTATTATGATCAATTTTTTAGCACTAGATTTTTTAGTTTTTTAATCAATAAATCATTCCTAAATTTAGTGTTATTGCCAGTACTTATTATGAAAATTTGTTAGATATGGACTCAGCAATTATCAAACTTGCTTCTTAATTTAGCTAGAAAGAACTTTAAGTAAGTGGTCGAGATGGAGTACCAAAAAAATGGATTGTGTTAGACATATTAAGATAATCAGTAGGACACCTAGTTAATTTGCATATCTTGCAATTATAATTAGGTCTGCTTGTAAGGAGTTTACTTTGAAGCTAGTATGTCTATAATTGAAAGTGTAGCATTTTTATTTTCAGCTAAATTGTTTATTTACAAAATTTGATGGCGAAGCAGTGAAGCAATCAAAGTCTTTCTAGTTAGTAATGTCTATAAGATAATTGTTTTACTTTTAATATCGTTATAAGTAATTGGTCACGCTTTTTACGTGTTACCACATAATAAATTATGCTCAGATTAGCAATTATATTAAAATTGCAGGATAAGATTAATCACGTGAATTAAAATTCATTCCCTATTTACACTTAATCTCATGCAAGATATGGTGGTATTTTTCGTCTCAGTCTGCTTTTTTCTATTTAGAATTTGATTAAATCATTATGATTCATCAAAATTTTCTCCTTTTTTTTTGAATACTAAAAAAGGCAAGAAGTGTTGAATTTAGAGCAATAAATTTTTTTAAGCAATAGTAACTAACGTATGTGACAAAAAATTATTCTGGATATTATAGTTTTGCTTTTAAGAAATTATTCAATTGTTACTTTTATTGAAAGGATAAGCTGGCGTAGTTTTTACTTATTTTTCGTACTGTATTATAACAGATTAATGCTACTGTAGTGGTTGAGAGAAGAATTCAAACCTTATCTCATCATCACTTAATGAATCATTTATGTGTAAATATTTAGTATCTGTATGCATATTCAGCATTCACGACAACTGTAAAAAGTTCAAATTCTTTTTTTTGCAAAAATTCTTTTCAGAAATACTAAGATAAAAGTGGTGTATCAAGAGACCTGAACTGCAGAGGTTATAATTTTTATCTTAAATGATTCATTAAATGAAAAGCAAACTTAAAATGGTATAAATAGTATATTGCTTAATAATTTCGACTTAACAATATTTACTTTTTACTTTTAAAATTATTAAGTAAACTTTAATTTATTACTTCTTAACTTTTAATTTATTACTTCTTTTAGTCTCTAAAATTTTATTAGTTCAGGCAAACAGGTTTTTGTCAAATGTCTTTTGAGATTTTTTAGCAATTATTGTGATGTTGATAAATGTAGAAAAATAACAGAAAGTTGTATTACTTTTTCTTTTTTGATTTTAATTCTATTATTAAAGGATTAAGGATTATATCTGAATGATATAATAGTGCAAAAAGATTGATAGCTGAATAACTGATAATTAGTTGATTTTATTAGTTCAGATAAACAGGTTTCTGTCATATCTCTTTTGAAATTTTTTAATTGAGATCTTTCATCTGAGCATTGCATTACTCAGTTATCAGTTGTAGTTAATCAAGTTATCAGTTATACAGCTATCCATCTTAATTAAATTTGTTGGTCTAATTTTAATTGGATATAAGATCTCAATTAACTCGTGACCTTTCATTATAAAAGAGTCAAAGATTGGTTGAACCAGTCAGTGTTTATGACCTTTCAAGTAAAGAGAGCATAAAATGAATTTGCGATTTTGATTATAATGGTACCAGTATTGATACTGTTTGTTCGATAAATATGTGCTTAAAATTGTGAATTTCAAGGCCATTACTTTTTTTACTCTTCACCCATTTATAAGAAACAATCACAAATTTGTAAAAATCACAAAATTGTAAAAAAAAACAATTAGTTAATTAACTGATTTTCGATTACACACTAATTGGTGGTAATTGTCAATATCATAAAATAATTTAGTCTTTCTGTCAGTTAGTCATTTGGTATGTATCATTTTTGCAGAGTTAAAAATGAATCGTACTTTATTTGCGTTAACGAAAAATTTTCAGAATTAATTCATCTCTTTTAAATAGTGATAATTTATTTTATTAAGTTAATTAACTTTATAAAAATTATGTTACTTTTTTATAGTTTCATCTGAGCATTTCATTACTTAGTCCTGTAATGCTACATTTGTATTTCAATTTATAACCTGTTTCGCGTAGCTCTAATTTTTTGTGTCATATTTGTTTTGTATGTTTATTTAGTCATCTATGTGACCTTGACCTTCACTAAGAATTTTCTACGTTCTTTGACTTTGATCTATGTAAATTTCATGACTTGTTATTTTATTCTATTTTGTATATTATTATTAATAACTGTGTTACTTCATCATTTAAATTAAAAGGGATATTTACTATAATTAATTTCAGAAATGAAATCTAACTTTGACTTACTATTAACTCCTACAATGCACATTTTACTGATATTTTGGTCATTTATTTTTGGCACCAATGGACATGGAATAGGTCAGTTATTCTAATTTAGAACGTGATAAACTTTTTGAAATTGAATGTTAATAAATTATTTGCTGAGATGTAATTGATAAAGATGATAATTCATGTAGTAAGTAGAGATGTGTATAAGGGATAAGTTTTACTGATAATAAGTAGTAAGTTATACTCATTATCACCTATAAAAATTTCAAAAATTGTAAGATTTAATTTTTCTTCAATTTTAGTTTTACTTTGGTCGCATTCACATATACGATTATCCTTTCATTTGGTTTTTTTTCCTGTCATAACTATTTAGCATTTATTTATTTATTTTTGAGGATTTTAAGGAAAACTTTAACTTTATGCATTATTATTATCATTTATTTTACATTCGTCTGCTAGGAATCTTCACTTATTTCTTTCTAGCTTCTCAATTTTTATTATGTCACAATTGCCCAAGTAGTGTGCCAGATTGTCAAGATTTATGCCATGGAAGGTATTGTTACAAAGCAGAACTCATCATTGATCGTAAGTTAACTTTATTATTTTTAAATCATTAAAGTGGTCCTGTAATATATTTCAGAAACTGAAAGTGAATATTTAAAGATAAATAAGATTATAACTTGAGATTTACGTGTGATATTTAAATTTAATAATGTGTTAGTGTCTTCAACAGTTGATTTTGGAATTTGTCAAGATGATTCAGATTCATTCAAGGGTTGACATTAGTGCCAAGATGATTCAGATTCAATCAGGAGATAACATTGATGTTTATTATTGTTAAAATCCGATTTTTGAAATATCAGATATCCCATGAAAATATTAGTCTGTAACTTATGGAGTATATTGCAATTTGAAGCGATTGCTATTTTCAAATCTTAATTGATATATTAATACGAATTTCACTGTGCAGAAAATGAAATTTGTTTTTGAAATTTAGTGTTGCAAATTCTTTTGCAGCTTGTTAATTGTAGATAATTATTCAACGGTGAAACGAGGATGTTTGAATCAAACAGATAATGGTGTAGATGTAGGACGATGCCAAGATTTACCAGCAGATTTACCTGGATCAAATATTCACGCTATCGAACGAATGTGTATTTGTACATTAAATGGATGTAATTCAGCTTCTACTAATTCTAACTTTGCTATCTTTAGTATAATAGTGTTATTGGCTATTTGTACTCGATGATTACATGAATAAATAACATAGACTTACAGATAATTCCTTTTTTTTTTTAAATTTATATGTATATATTAATTTTCTAAAATATTAATGCTGTGAAGTCTTATACAAATTTTTTTTATACACGTCAAATTTCATGGCAAATACGTTTGTTATAAACTTTGAAAAGAATCTTTTTCTAATCATATAGAGCCATTTTTAATAAATATTTGATCAGTGTGAAGTATTCGTTTTCTTAGACTAAATTTGATATAATGATCAGAAATTATTAGTAATGACTTAAATGTTTTCAACTATTGAAGTTTTGATTTGCTATTTTATTTTATGCGAAATCTTTTCTGTGATGTTTTTATGACAGATTGATCTCTTATTTCATCAAAGTATTATAATATGTGATTACTTGCTTGTTGTGAATTTTGAATATAGTGAACACTGATAGATGTATTTCTTATATCAAAATATGATGGGTCAGGAACTGATTTTATAAATTTGTAAATGTAATCTTGTAGTTACTCGAATACTTTTTTATGCTCTCAAATTTTGTTACTTAATTTATGCGTTTTTATATTTGATCGAAAGTTGAAATCCATAATTTTAACATATCAAACATTTTGTACTGAAATACTTTACTGATTTGTGTATTAAATTTCACTCTTAAAAAATTATCCAAATTGAGTAAATTTATTAATTTACTTGTTTTTAACTTTTATTATAAAACGAGCAAAAAAGTAATAATTCGTTACTTTTTGTTTATTATACAAATTGCGGAGAATCCAGCAGAACGAAAGTTTCAAGTGTGGTAGACTATTTTATGACTACTGTTAGATGTCAAAGGCCAAAATTAATTTAACATGATTAGTGAGAGCATTGCTATTATTTTTTAAATTTGAAGAATATTTCAGTAATCATATAATGATTGATTGGTCAGTAGCGCATGATCATTTTCCATTATGTGATAAATTTGCATATTATGCAGTTTATTATTGTCAACGTCAAAAATGGATAAACATTTCGTCAAGAATTGAGACAATTAAATATGCAG